TTATTTTTTTCCTGCAGGTGACTGCCAAATGGAAAAGCCTCTCACTTCCCAAATAGCAGGCTCTTTCTTCCCTTCTCAAAACACAAATATTTTTTTCTCTCTGTAATTTCCTTCTGCACAACTGCAGGAAGAGGCTCTTGCAACGCTCAGCAAAGGGTTTCAAGCCCAGGGAAAGGGTTTGCCCATCCAGCTCCCTGCCACTCGTGCCAGGAGATGCTCCTTTGGCAGCAACACCTGGTCCAGGCAAACGCTGCCTGTGCAGCATCACCCTGGTGCCGTTCCCCCTGCACAGCCTGGATGCTCCAGCAGATAACAGCAGCTGTTCAGCAGCAAGCATCTAGCCATATGTTGTTGCTAACAAGCATTTACTGAAGCTGGTTTCTTCCCGTGATTCCCAAGTGTCTGATTAATGCACAGCTCCTCCGAGCGATTTTTAGATTTTTTTTTTCACCCTCCCCTTGCAAATCTATTTCTTCTTTTGTTGTTGTTGTTGTTGTTCTGGCATTATAAGCAAACCAGAATGTGAGCATAAAATGGGGTTAAAAGCCACAAGAGCTGAAAAAAAAAAGAAGTTACAGGTGTATTTAAATAGCTAAAAAGTGATTCACACAAGTTTCATTTGGGGATTTTTTTGTGCTCAAAACCACAGAGTTTATGGGCTGACCCTGCCATGGTCCTGTAGGCTCCAAGCACAGAGGAGCTGCTCAACAATCAACTACCTGCCCTGGGAGGGGGATTGGTATTTCTTTGTTCCCAAGTCACATTTCTGGGCTCTGCCTGCAGATCTGGGCCCCTGCCCGAGCACCTGATGCTATGGAGTCCTTCTCTGAAGTGTAAAGAAAGGAAAATAACCTGTGGCTGTAAGAACTTGGGAAGTTTTACTGGGATTGCAGCAGGGTGTATGATCCACGAGCCTGAATCCCTGGTCCCCAGGCTTGGGAGGCTTGACACAGACCTTTATTTCCCATAGTGTTCCCAGTTAAAACAGCCTGGGAAGAAATCAGAAACCCTGACCTGGGTCCCTGGGCTGTACCAGCATCCCATCCTCTGGGGAAAGGCTTTTCCAGGGACCGTGCCGTGAGCTGAGCAGAGAGGAGGGAGCGGTGCTGGTGGGAACATCCCTGCCCTGGTTAACCTTATCTCAGAGAGCTCTGGGAAAGCACAGCGCGCTGGGAGGTGGCAGAGAGGTGCCCAAGGTGATTCATCCCAGCCCTGGGAGGTCCAGCGTAGGAGGGTGAATCACCCTCCACCAGAACCTGCCTCCCTCCAGAGCCAGGGAGGTTTCAGAGGCAGGCTGGAATCACACTGCAGGACATCACGTAGGTGTCCCAAGAGGCTCAGGGCACCTGATTACTTCACCTCCAAATGGCTGAACAATGTGGGATGAGTCCCACTGTTCCCAGCTGGAGCTTATCTTCCAGGCTTTTGCACCTCATACAAAAACAGCAAAGGAATTCTGCAATTTCTGTGCGACCACATGAATTAGAGGGCTCATTTTTGTGTCATTTGTGTTCATATAATCATAGAATCATCAGAAGATTTGAGTTGGAAGGGACCTTTAAGGGTCATCCAGTCCCACCCCCTGCCATGGGCAGGGACACCTTCCAGTACCCCAGGTTGCTTCAAGCCCCATCCAGCCTGGCCTTGGACACTTCCAAGGATCCAGGGGCAGCCACCATCTCTTTGAGCAACTTGTTTCAGTGTTTTGCCACCCTCATTGTAAAAAATTTCTTCCTTCTATCTAGATTGAATCTCCTCTCTTTCAGTTTAAAACATCTCCTCTTGTTCTATGACAATATTCCCTGCTAAAATGCTTGCCCCCATCTCTTTTCTGAAATGCCTGCAGGCCCTGGCAGGGGCTCTGAGGTGTCCCTGGAGCTTCTCTGGTGCAGCTGAGCAGTCCCAGCTGTGCCAGGCTGGCTCCAGAGCAGAGGGGCTCCAGCCCTGGCAGCAGCTCCGTGGCCTCCTCTGCACTGGCTGCAGCAGCTCCAGCTCCTTGTGCTGCTGGAGCCAGGGCTGGGGCAGCTCTGCAGGTGGGCTCTCACCTGAGCCCAGGGGCACAGGGGCAGGATCCCCCTGCCCTGCTGCAGCCAGGGTGGGATGAACCAGAAGCCACCACACCGTGAGCTGGGACAGAGCTCGTGTCCCTCCGGCCGAGGTTTGGTGCTCGTCACACCCGCCCTGGAAACGGGAGCAGATCCCCAGGAAGGCACCTTCACCCTCAGCTGGGCTCCCACGGGGATACCTGTGACCTGGACTCACCACACAACACCAAAATGGGAAGAAACAAGAGTTTTCTCTAACCATCCCTCTACACCCCAAAAGTGATCACAGCCAGCGCTCAGCTCCCTCCAGCCCTGCCCAACCCAGCGCCAACGCGGGAAAATCAACCTTAACTCCATAATTGTCATCAGCATCAGCCCCTTGGGCTGGAGCCCATACCAGCTCAATCTTTAATTAATAAGTGATTATTCTGGCTTTCCAAAAGGTGTCAGGCAAACATCCACAGAGCTGAGGCCACACGGGTGGCTGTGCTGGCAGCTCAGCAACCGCAGCAGCTTTGCCTTCTCACCATGGCCACAGGCAAGACAATCAAGTCCTGCTAATAATTTAAAAGCATCAATTAATACGGTTTAATAAATACATAAAGTGATCTAGTCTCTTTTTTTTTCCCATCAGCTTTTTAGCATCAATCAAAGTTAAGGGTGATTGTCCCGTGAGTAACTAAGGCAAATTTGTTTGTGTACGTGTGTGTTCCTCTCTACTTTTTTGTTTTGATTTTTTTCCATTGTTTTGTACATAAAGCAATCACATAAAAATAGTTATAAATAGAAAAATTGCAAAGGTTTATCCCCACTTAGACATATAGGAAAAAAAAAAAAGAACCCAACCGACCTAACAAACAAACCAAGACAGAAAAAACACCTTGCTTCAAGTCCTTGCAGATCATACAGTACTCAGCATCTTTGGATATTTTACAATGACTCCAAATCGTAGACAAAAAAACACCTGAAGGAACCAATCATCTGCAAAACGTCGCTTGTTTAAGAAGTTGATGTGGATTAAAAAGAAAAAGTTCGATGCAGTTTTAAGAAGATTTCTTTTTCTTCTTACTTTCTTTTTTTTTTCTCTCCATTGACTTTTGTTGCACGTGGAGTCTTTAAGGATTTCTTTTGGGAGGGGGAAGCCAAGTGTTGGGCAGTTCCTTGGGGCCATTCTGCTATGGGTGGTCTCAGAGCAGAAGCCCCTCAACCCTCCTGAGGGCTGTGGAACCCTTGACTTCCCTGTGTCCCCTTCCTTGCCTCTGGTGGGCAGATTCTCATCCAGACACCTCGCCACTGATGGAAAAACCAAAAACCTCATGAACCTGCGCTCCTCTCGTTCCCTTCAACCTTGCTGACGTTGGAAGGTCATAGTAAAAAGAGAAATAAAAGCCCCAATTGGTAACATTTACATTTCTAAGTGTTGGTTTCGTGTAAAGCAACCACTGCAACCCACCTCAGCCAGGGGTGGAAGTGGGATCCCACCATGCCTGCCTCCTATGGCTCATCCAGGAGGAGCCATCAGAGGCAGAGGGCCACCAAAGCCTTTATCCTTCAGAGCAGCTCATGGATTTGGGGCTGAAGGAGGTGGACAGGGTGATTCCAGCCAAGTGGCCACTTTTTGTGCCCCAAAAGAATTACCAGATGGGGTCTGCAGGGATGCTGGGGAGTCAGCCAAAACCTGCTGGCCACCGTGGGTGACCTTCAACTTGGAGCACCCTGTCAAATGTCACCACCTACTCTTTTGAACCAACTACAGTGAAGAAACAGCATTTCTACTTGCTGTCAAATGATGCTATCACCATCAACACACCAGTAGTGAACATCTTTTCCACAAAGATCCCTCCAGACAAGCAGCAGGGATATCTGCACACCCGAATTTTTCCCACCAACACTGCAGATTTGGGGACACGCGAGTGTTTTGTAAATTTTTCTCATCATTATCATGTAAGAATTTGAGGGAATTAAGGACAGAACCCCAGACATTTCTGAATGGTCAGCGGCAGCGAATTCTGACTCTTTGGTTTGAAATGACTTTTTCATTTCAAAATTCCCACTTGTTCATTTTTTCAAAGCAAGGGTTTAATAAAAGCTCAGTATCGAAATATTACCGATTCTTCCAAAACTTTTCCTTCACCTTTTCAAGCAACTGAAGTTAAAATACTCAAAATAGGCTTTGGTTCTCCTTTTGAAACTTTGAAATAGCTAAAGAACCAAAATAAGTAAAATCCCCCTTTTCCACCCAGCTTTGCGCTAGGTGTTCAATCTCCATTTTTTTTTTTTTAATGTTTTTAATGTTTTTAAGGTCCCAACTCATGCTGCAGGTCAGGGCTTTCACCAGCCCTGTAAATCTGGTATACTGCTGAGAAAGGCAGTGGCCAGTATCCTCCCTCTCTCCCTCTCCCAGTAAGGCTGCTAGACCTCCCCCTTATCCCTTGTAGAATAAATATTGTTGCCAGACATGGAAATTAATTAAGAAAAAAAGAAAACAAAACCAGAAAGAAAACAGAAAAGTCCTTTTGACCAAAAGGGCCAAGGAATGCAACAAAACAAACCCAAGTCTGGACGGCTTGTCAGTGTCCAGCGAGCTCCTTGTGTGGGAAAATGGGGAACATTTCCCACAGAAAAGCCATCTCGTGGCGATGGCCGAGCCCTGGACTAAGGCAAGTGACATTTTTGGGGGTGTTGAAGAGAGCAGCAGTCCTGGCCTGGCCTTCCCAGATGGAGCCATGAGTGGAGGGATGGGACAGGCAGTGCCTGATGGCCCCAAAGTCTAAAGTGCCGGTGGCCATGGGGCACAGCACCTGCCCATGCCCTGCTCGCCCCAGGGACGGCCTCGTGCCCTGAGCCCCATGGCAGTGAGAGGACAAAGAGCTTCTCGGGAGCCTGATGACGCAGAAGGGCAGGTGGGAGCCTTGCTGGGATGGGAGCAAATGCATGGTGGGACCGGGCGCGGGTTTAGTTGCTGGCCTCTGAGATGGGAGCCACGTGGCCAAGCCCCGCCAAGCCACTGAAGCCTGTGCTCCAAGGGTCGGGGAGAGGGAAGAAGGGTTGGGCAGCGAGGTTTTCATTGTGGCCCAGGGCGAAGGCGAAGATGCCCGCGTTCCTCTCCATGTCCATCTGGGCCCGCCTGAAGAGCTTCATCTGCGTCTCTTCAATCTGGCTCTCCAGCTCCTGCAGGCTGAAGGGTGTCTGGGCCCCGCTCAGGAAGTGCTTGGGGCTGGGCCCGGGAAGGCACATGGCCGTGCTGCCGAGGTGGCCGCTCATCTCCTCCAGCGCGGGCGGCATCATGAAGCCGCTCTCCACGGGCGGGCCCCCGGGCGCGAGGAGCAGGCCGGCCGCCCGCCACGCCGCCGGCTTGCGGCCGCGCCGGGGCCGCGCGATGCGGCAGCTCTGCCGCTTGATGTGGCGGTGCAGGTGGTCGGAGCGGGTGAAGCTCTTGTAGCAGAACTCGCACTGGTAGGGCCGGATGCCCGTGTGGATGCGCATGTGGTTCTTCAGGTCGTAGTTGTGCACGAACTTGGCGTTGCAGTGGATGCACAGGTACGGCCGCTCGCCCGTGTGCTTGCGCATGTGGATTTTGAGCTTGTCCTGCCTGCAAAAGAAAAGGCGCTTGGTCAGGCGGTGTGGGCCGGAAGGGTCGGGATTGCTCTTTTTGGGATTGGCTCCCCGGCTGGGATCAGGGTGATGGGAAGGCCCTCATCATGGGGCCTCTCCCAATGTATGGATGGTCTTGCAGGTGATGTTCGCGTTTGCCTTTTCTTTCCTGGGCACTAAAACACCATACACACAGAGCCCTCCATGTCAGGAGTTTGCAGCCCATCCCAGAGAGTTCAAAACAGCTTAAATTGGAGGGAAAAGAAAAATCCCTGTAATAAACCTAAAAAACACAGAATCATTAACGCTGGAGAAGACCTGAGATCATCAAGTCCAACCACACCAACAGTCAAGGCCACCACTGACCCATGTCCCCAAGTGCCAGATCCAGATGGCTTTTGAATCCCTCCAGGGATGGAGATTCCACTACTGCCTTGGGCAGCTGTGCCAGGGCTGGACAGCCCTTTCAGGTAAGGCATTTTTCCTGATTTTCCAAGCTCAGCTTTCTCTGGCACAACTTGAGGCTGCTCCCCCTTGTTCTGTCCCTTGTTCCCTGGGAGAAGAGCCTGACCCCCACTAGGCTACATCCTCCTTCCACATACTTGCAAAAAGCAAGATTCTAAATATGGGAATATATCTATATATAACTAAATCTGGGATTATTAGATAAATACAGCCCTGTTCCAGCCTGCAAATAATGAAATCAGTTGGGATTTCAGAACCTGGAAATGCAGGACAATACTGCTTAAATTCAGTCCCTCTTGGAGCCGATTTTCCTCTCCTTTTATTCTTGCACTGACCACATGGTGTCTCAGGAGCTTTCTTTTGGAGCAGGAGCAGCACAGAGGGTGATGCTGCCAGAGGTGCAGCATCCAGGCTCTCTGCCCTTCCCTGCCAGGGTCTCCAAGGCCAGCACACATCCAACCTCCCACACAGCTTAGGGAAGTTTTTCAAGTCCAGCCATGGAACAGTGTAATATCCATCCCAATGGCACTTATTTACAAATATTTATATATGTATTTTTAAGGGGAACATCTAAAAGCGAGAATATTTTCCCATATGGGCAATCCAATCACTGCTTTTTCCCAAAAAAATAAATGTTTCCTTCTGCAGCCAAAATCCAAAAAAACCACCAAAATCACAGCTAAAGAGTATGATTATAAAAAGTGAAGCTGATTATGGCTCAGCTGAGCTGAACATTGCTTCCTGGGTTGCACCAGTGGTGTTCAAGTAAAGAGCAAAGTGGGAAAATTCATATTGCTTTCCAAAATTATTTCAGTATGAACCCTCCAACATGCTAGTATTGAGGCTAAAAATATGTAGAACATGTGGAGTAATTTCATTATTAGATATAAAAAATATATTATACATTACAGATATGTCATATAAAACTATACAGTGTATTTTAACATAAACAGTAAAGAATATACAATTCATTATTGTTTTAAAATAAAAACATATATTTTGAATTACATAATGTTAATATGTATTATGATGATTTAATTTATATAACATAAAAGCCAGACAAAAATCTGTTTGTTCTGGAAGGTCAAGCCCTCAAAACTTGCAAGGTGCTGCCTCTGAACTAGTTTTTGTCACCCAACCCATATTGAAACAGTTTTTGGTGACGTGCCCAGCAGCACAGAGGTGCTGGCCACACTGTGAGGAATGCAGCTCTGGGCTGGGCATCCCTGTGCACCATCAAGGATGCAAAGGAGTTTCCCTAGCAGGAGAGTGACTTCTTCACGAGATGATGCTTTATTGCTCTTGGGAGACTGATCCCAGCCTGGCCCTGCACCTACAGATTTTTTAGGGAGACACGGAAAAAAAAGCATCCCTCAGTCCCTGTGCCAAGCTCAGGTCAACTTCCCACTGTGGCACTTTTAAATCTGGTGCTACTCCGAGGTTTTCACAAGGATGCATTTTCTCTGCAAGGGCTGGAGCCAGTGCTCAGCAGCAGACAAAGCAGCAGCAGGGAAATTTCACCCCGAACGGCGAAGTCGCGCGCGGATGAGCGCGGGGGCTCGTGCTGCAAAGGGGGGGCAGTGTTAATAAAAAGCAGAGCTGCCGACCCCACCTATAATTTAATTTAAACCTCTGTAGGTAATGTTTAACCTAGCAGGATCGCTTTTCCTAATAAACACGCTGCGTGCCAGGACTGTATAATGTAAATACAGGCAAAGCTCTTTCCAGGCTATTACCCATCTCCGGCAGCAGACGGGGAGAAACCCAATCCTCCCTGGCCCGGCAGCATCTCCAGGGAATGCAAGGGAGGTTTGTGGAGCTGCTCAGAGGCTTGGGAGGGTGAGGTGCTCTGTGGTGAAGCACCCCAGGGGGATGTGCCATGGGGAACACGGGCTTTGTGAGCCGGGAGCTGGGCTGGAGGCTCGCTCCGACGGAGATCCGCACTCTGTGTGTGTGAATAACCTTAATGCAATTGCATTAGGAGAGCGATTAGGGCTCTGTGAGCTGTCACAACACAAATAATAGGAACAAATAATGTTAACCTTTCCAGCTGGAACAGTATCTCCTTGAGCACTCTGGGGTTGTCTTGGTGGAAAAGCTGAAATATTTGCCGCTTTCCCTGGCGTTCTAGCGGGGTGGAACAGCAGACTAGAAGCTGAGCAGCCTTTGTTTAAGGAAAAAACAATTAATGAGCCATTAAATGAAGTCCTGCTTCCTGTGATCAGATGTCCGTGGGCAGCAGGAGGGGCAGGTCCAGGTGCACGTAGGGTCCTGGCTGGGGGATGAGAGACCCCACTGATGTGCAGGGGAAGGGATCTGCTGGGGAGGTTGGGGCACTCCTCACCCCAGGAAAATATATCTTCTCCATTTCCCCAGCAGATTTTCACCTCCACAGTGCCTTAAACGCAGAAGCAATGCAAAGGACTGATTCATACTGAGATTCCATTTGGGAACCTCTGCTTCCCTGCACCCTCACTCCCAGGGGACCCCAGAAGGGACCACCTGAGCTTGCACCTCCCCAGTGAAGGCACCGTGGGTGCAAGTCCAATGCTTTCGGAGAGCATGGGATTCCCCCCCTCCCCTGAGAGCAAAACACATAATGCAAGTGGCAGCACTCAGGAAATCCCAGTAGAAATCTCTTTCTGCATCTCAATCACTCCACTTTGCTTAAAACTACACCTTTTCCTAAAAGAGGGCTCTCACACCAGAGTAATGATGAAAACAGCTAAGAAAACCCCACCCCAAACAAAGCAAATTAGCTGCACGCTCTTCAAAGTCCTTCCAAATGCATTTTAAAAGAAATCAATATTTTAATATATCCACTTTGCTCAAGGTGTTAAAGAAAGAAAAGACCTTCTAGCACCCAGCTCTGCATGGAGTGATCCACAAGACCAGTTTTCATCAGTGATGTTGGGGGACTGCACTGTTGGGCAAGTCTCGGTTTTTTGATTTTTTTCCCCTTGGATGAAGTCCCCCTACCCCTGTGTCCTGTGTTTAGAAGCTGCTGAGCACATGGGGGATGTCGAAACTATCAGGTTTAGTCCTGTATTAGTAATGGGTGATGCTAGACCAGCTCTGTGTGGAGTTTTCAACCTCCACCACGCTGATATAACTTGTCTGGATTAGGCTTCATGCCTCAGTTTCCCTGAACTAAGTGAACAACGCTGCCCTTGCCTGTAAAGGACTTTGGGAGCCCTCTGGGAGGGCTCAGCTCTATATTCCTGTTACAGGGAAGATGTCAGTGATGGATCTAGGCAGGCTAGTTCCTCACCAAAAATTAGCACCTGCAGCAGCACACACAAGAGAGCAACAGGGACCACAGGATGGGGCTGGCCGGGCTGTCCCTCCAGTCACAGGGCTGAACCCACCCCACAGAGACAACAGTGCTAACCTGGGGCTGCAGCACCAGCAGGAGCCAGATCCAAATTCCTGCAGGCAGGAATTATCACCATGCAGTGGCCTTTCCCCTGCAAATACCAGGGTGAGCTGGCTCACGCTGCACATGCCCGCCCGAGGCATGATGCTCCCCGCATTATAATATGGTGTCTGCTGTGCTAATGGAGGGGAGCATGGAAATTTATTTTCAGGTCAAATTCTCATCATCTGCATATCTTCCATTCGTATATTATCATAGGGACAGGAGAAGAAAAGACAGGCTGAATGCAGGAGCACCCCAGGTGTCCGGCCATTGTCAGGAGCTCGCCTCTGCCTACTGTGCAGATTATTTTCCTCTGGTTTTCTCACCCCAGCTTAATAGGGCTCTCTCTCTCTCTCACATGCAGCCAGGAGCTGAAATACCATGCTCTTGTCAGAAAGCTTTATTATTATGGTAAAGATTGTTCTCATTAGATATTAATTATACTCAGCAAGAGCAGGTCCAGGAATCTATTTGTCTCCGCTCACCGATTAAATTTGCCCAGCTTCGCAGAGCACGGTTTCAGGCTGGAACATTACATTTGCACAGCTAAATACAACTTGGCAAGAGAAGTTGCAGCTGCCCCATCTCTGGAAGTGTCCCAGGCAAGGTTGGACAGTGATGGGAGCAACCTGGGATAGTGGATGGTGTCCCTGCCCACGGTAGGGGGTGGAACTGGATGAACTCTAAAGCCATTTCCAACCCAAACCATTCCATGATTCTGTGAGTCCAGCTGTTCCCCAGCACTGCCAAGTCCACCAGACCATGTCCCCAGGTGTCACATCTACACATCTTTTATATCCCTTCAGGGATGGGGGCTCCTCCACTGCCCTGGACAGGCTGTTACAGTGCTATGCATGAAGAAATTGTTCTTAATATCCAATCTAAACCTCCCTTGGTGACACTTCAGGACGTTCCCCCTTTTCCTGTCATTTTTTACTTTGGGGAAGAGACCGAGACCCCAACTGCACTACTAAGACATAATAATTAGGGCCACTCCAGCCCCAGAAAGCCCAGAGAGCCCAGATAGTGTCTCATCCAAATGTGTGCAACTTGGTTGTGGTCTACACTGATGCCAAAAAGTGCAAACCCAAACTAATTACATCCTGCGGCTAAATGGCCCTCCCAACTCAGTGCATCTCTCAGCACATTAGAGATGAAGCGTCCTTGGCTGTTTGACCATCTGTTTTCCAGCTCACTCTGGTCCCACTGTGGTGAACTATAGTGGGGTTGAAAATATCCTGTTACTTATTTAAGCTTTTGTCCAGCGAGGGGATGGATCCAGTGAGCTGTGGATGTCATCCACAACCCACAAAAATCAGTAGGTTCTTTTTCTTCCTCCACCCTCCCTTCCTCCCTTTTTATTTTTTCTAAGGGGACAGAGATCATGCCCTGCTTTCCTCCCTACATTTATTCTGGGACAAAAACTCTGGTGAGTTTTCTCTGATGAGCAGCAGAGAAATCAGTCATGGATTATGATGTGACCCCTCCAGCCACCACCCCACTCCCCACACACAGCAGAGGTGACCAACACACACCTGGTAAAGCGAACTTCACAGATATTGCACATATAGGGCTTCTCCCCCGTGTGGGTCCTCATGTGCCGGGGCAGCTTGCCAGCCCCCATGATGACTTTGTTACAGATGGGACACTGTTGGGATGCCTTGGGCTTTATTTTCCTCTCTTCCTCCAGGGGCCATGGGGGAAAAACTCCTCCAAACTGGGTAGCACTTAGGAAATTGAGATAAGCGCTATAGTCAGTCTCTGCCTTAATATGCCCTAAGGGAGCTGCTGGCGTGTTGGCAAACATGTCCTTGAAGAAGTCATTAGGGAAAGGAGGCGGAGGCAGGTCTTCCTTCTCCTCTTCCTTGATCTTCCTCTTTTTGATCACCAGATCCAAGGGGCCGTTGTCTACTTGTGGCTCCTCGAGCTGGGGGAAGGAGTTGAAGTCGCCGTTCCACAGGTGGGGGAAGAAGCTGGGGGTGAAAGGAGACAGAGCTGGCCTCCGTTCTGGGATGTTTGCCTTAGGGTACAAGTTTTCACTCAGCAAGGACTCTATGGAGAAGTCTCGTATCATGCCCAAGTGTCCAGAGGAGTTACTGGCTGGGAAGTGATTTGGAAAATCTTTAGGTGCTTCTGTATAAGCTTCTTCAGTGAGATCGGACTCAGAAGGGCTTTGGTGGCAGCTTACTTCTTGCACATCAGTTAGGTTCTCCTGATTGACAAAATCTTCCACTTCCTCCTCCTCCTCTTCCTCCTCATCTTCATCTTCGTCTTCATCGTCATCGTCGTCCTCTTTGTCATCTTCCTCCTCGGCCTCCCTGTCGGGCTCCATGATCTCCAGGCAGACGTTGATGATGCTCTGGATCTCCAGCATCTTGGCGGCACTGAGGATGTGCTTGACGTTTGAGGTGGTGATGGTGAGGGTTGAGGTGTAGGCGAACTCGAGGATGGCAGAAAGTGCTTCAGGCTTGACAAAGTCAATCTCGTAAACATAGGGCTGGTCCGTTAAAGTGCCGGTAGTGAAGAGTTTTTTGAAGTACTTGCTGCAGGCGGCCAGGACGGAGCGGTGGGTGCGGTACTCCTGGTCCTGCACGATGAGGATGACATCGCACAGGAGCCCGTCGTGCCGCTGCTCGTTCAGGCCACACAGCACCTCGCTGCTGTGGTTCGGGAATGGGATCCCGATAAGATCTTCAATGCCATTGGCCATATTCTCATTTAGTGCCCTAGGACAAAGCACCAACAGCAGAGCGTTAGCAGGGCATTGCCAATTGATAATGCCAAAACGATGCTGCCTTCTCCTGGGGTCCTTCCCTCCTCTGCCTCACCTGCCATCACCTCCTGCTTGCATGGCTCAGTGCATCTCCAGACCACCTTCAGCTCCTTCCAGATCCTCTGCTTCCATTCCCATCTCCTCATCTCCTTCTCAATTCCTTCTCAATTCCCACCCTGCTCACCTTTTCACAATCTCCACAAGCTCCCTCTTCTCTGTCACACCCCTCCCCCAGGAACCTTGTGCAATGACTCCCTACCCACCACATTTCTTCTGCATCCTCCTGGAGCCAGCATTGTTCCAGGCACACGTTGGATTTGCCCTGCCAGGAGCTATGTGGGGAAAGTGTGATGCTGTATTGCTGCACACTGCCAAGAGCCAGCACCTACACTGCTTGAAAGAGATGAGCCAGGGAGTGCCCATCTCATCTACGTGATTGTTTTTGGGGCTGGTACAAGTGGACATCCCATAGAGGAGGATCACGGCTTCCTGCTGCAGCAGGAGAGCAATTCTTTTGGATCTTCAGTTCTACTTCATGCCTGGAAGCTGTGACATGTCTCCTCACATGAGGACATGCCATGTAGGAATGTCCTGCTGAGGGATCTGGGAATGGGGAGGAAAGCAAGGATTTGTGTGACAGTGTGTACCTAAACGCTCAGGAAGACAACCAGCTAGCAAGGACCTGGCCAGACACAGAGTGTTGTCTACTATCTCTTCCCATGAGCTGAGCTCTCTCCATTCCCAATCCTGCTTGGACTTGTCAGCATGGTATCAAAATGCCCTGTGCATCTGGCAGACTTCTTCCCCTGCTAGAGCAGCTTTAGCTTCAAAGGAAAACTCGGAAGCAAAAAGCCCACACCCAAGAGGAAAACCTGATTCTTTTTTTTTTTTTTGCCATTTTTTAATCTGTAAGATGTTTCCTCTTTCACATGGTTCCAGCAGCCCTTCCACATGAGAAATCCCAGGAAAGGAAAGCGATTTCCTCCAGCAGGCGACGAATACATTAATCCCCTCACAGACAGAATACATCAAACAGACAGAATAACTTTGAATACACTAACCCTTGGAAACCCCCAGGACACAGAGCATGTGTTCATGCCGTGTCACCTCTAGCAGCCCTGGCCCTGCTGCAGGTAGACACTTGGTTCACAGCCAAGGGACAGAGCAGTTAATCTCCAGGAGAACTCAGGGCACGTGAAAGCAAAACTGCAGCCCCACTCCATCCCTTTTGCGAGGCTAACACCACCAGGCAGGTTCCCCAGTTCCACACCATGCCACCTCTGCAGCTCTCCTGGGATCCACTGCCATGTCCTGGCTATCCTTCCCCGCCCAGTTTATGGCTCTGCTGATTCCAAACCTCCAAACCTCCTTCCAAGCCACCCGTAGTAGGGACTCGGTTTACTTCAGCTGGCTCCCGCCCTCCCAGCTGCCTTGGGGATGGAAAGAGCCTGGTCTGATGGAGGCTCTCCATGAAAACCTGTGCTTCACCTTGGCCAGCAACCCTTGGGAAGCCTGGGAGGCCTGTAGAGGGGATCAGATTCAGCAGTAAACATTCCCGTGGGAAAAGGAATGCCGTCTCCCTTTTCCTCCCTCCCCAGGGAGACCTTGCAGGTATCTCCCCCACACTTATCCAGCACTGCCAAAACCAGGTGTGTGGGAGCCAGAGAGTGAAGGTCTCGGAGGATGATGCAACCTGCAGGGAGGTGATGGACCACAGGCCTGGGGGGGGCCACAGGGATGGGGGACAGCTGTCCATGCTCAGTGAATGCTCACAGGGATGGGGACAGTGTCCAGCTGTCCATGCTCAGTGAATGCTCACAGGGATGGGGACAGTGTCCATGCTCAGTGAATGCTCACAGGGATGGGGACAGTGTCCAGCTGTCCATGCTCAGTGAATGCTCACAGGGATGGGGACAGTGTCCTGCTGTCCATGCTCAGTGAATGCTCACAGGGATGGGGGACAGTGTCCATGCTCAGTGAATGCTCACAGGGATGGGGACAGTGTCCTGCTGTCCATGCTCAGTGAATGCTCACAGGGATGGGGACAGTGTCCTGCTGTCCATGCTCAGTGAATGCTCACAGGGATGGGGACAGTGTCCATGCTCAGTGGAGCCTCACAGGGATGGGGACAGTGTCCTGCTGTCCATGCTCAGGGAAGCCTCACAGGGGCTGGAGGGCAGCCCCAGCCATGGGGAGCCCTCTCCCGCCAGCTCCCCAAGCCTAGAGCTGGGCAGAGGAACCAGAAATCACACCCAGCTCCGGCCACTGACATTTTCAGGGAGGATGCTCCAGCCCCTCATCCCATGGTGTGCCCATTACCTCCACGCTAATTACGTCTGTTGTCTGAAACAAATTGATTCATTACAGTGTGCTGTGCTTAACCATGTTAACCAGCAACGCTCCTCTGCGATCCCGACCAGCTCTGTATCAAATCCTCCTTGAAAATCGCCGATAAATGACAGTAAATCTAATACCTTCTCCAAGTGGAGTGTAAGATAATAAATAACCCCTGAGCCAGGGAGGAAAAGACAGCTTCCTTTCTAGGGCTTTGTATCCCGAATAATAAGCGTGAGCAATTAAATTTCTATTGCTGTTTTTATCATCTAGTCATTTATTTTTGTTTGGAAGGAGCCTGAGTGTTAAAGGAGCTTCTTGCATGAAGGAACGTGTCTTCCTATTTTCATCTTTCACTGCCAGATCACCCTAAGTGCCAAAAATCAGAACAGCAGAATATCAGACTACCCTGAGAAATGTTTTTATAGAGGGTTTTTTCTGGACACTAGGCTTCATTCTCCCTAATTAGTGGCTTATTTGCTCGACAGCAAGAAAAATTAGAATTGGGAGATTGGGGTGTACAAATACATAGTTACATATAATTTATATGTATAAAATATATTTTAAAAATTACGGGGTTTTGGTGGAAATTAGCTATTTTTCCTTTCTTATCCCTCCCTGGTCCTCCTGAGATGTGGCTCTGTTAACTGCAGCGTTTAGGCAAGCCGATAACTTTACAGGATGCTGGCAAAATTGAAGGTGATTCATGTCATTTAAACCGGGGGTGAGGCGGGGGGAGAGGGAGAGAAACAGCACATTCATTTGCATGCATTTGCATTTTTTAAACTCTCAGAGTGGTTTGACAGCTCTGGAGCTCAGCGAGCTTGAGAAATGACCTTATGGTTCCCATGCCCCCGGGGAGGTTGATGGCCAGAGGCTGGAAGTGTGCTGAGCCTGACGTTTTCCTTCCTTCCCCTCCCTCCTCTCCCTCCTCCTGCACTCCCCCCTTCCCATCCCCAAGCCAAGGGTGGGGTCCTCAATAATAACAGGCTTAAAAATAGCATCTGATGGTGACAAATGTCACCAGAGCATGCACACACACACACACACACGCACACACACGCACACGCACACACAGGGCAAATGCTGAGCAGGCGGCACGGAGTTAAACAGCAAAATCCCATTTTATAATAGAAAATTACAGCACTGTTAAAATAAACTGGAGGGAGATGGTGGAAAGGGTGGAGGGCACCTAAAATAAATGTATTCTGCAGATGATGTTGTGAAACATTGCGTTTATGGTCACGCTTAAAACTCATTCATTACTTTCTTGCCCGGAAAAGCCCCACTTATAAAAAAATGATGGTGGGGTACTGGACGGCTTCCCTCAACATTCTGCCAACAGATTTAGACACCTGAAGCTGCAACAGGAAAAAAAAGAGGAGTTGTTGGGGGCTAGGATTTGTCCTCTTTTTGGGTGAAAAATGCCAAATACAAGCCAGGGACTACAGCAATTATCATAAACCAGCTGCAACGTGCACTCCCTGGGTGACCCAGAGCTCATCCAGGCACTCTGCTGCCCAAAACCTCCTTATTTTTTTTCTTTAATAATCTTTTTTCCTCCAACCTCCTTCACTGTAACACTGAAGGATCTCAGCATCTCCAAACCAGCAATGTAAAACTGAAATACCAGAGAGAGGTGAAATGCTGATTTTAGCACCGTGCTGAGTGAAAACCAGAAGTACACTCAATAGGTTATAAAGACACATGCACAGAAAACAGATAAAGCAAACTCGTGTTGCCTCTGCTTGTTTGAAGGGGTGGAAGTGGAGCACTGACACAGCCTGGAGCAGCCCTAAGAGATGTGCCAGCCCTGGGCAGGGACAGCATCCTGCCCGTGGCTCTCAGCGTTGCTCAATGGCCGGAGCAGGAGACCTGTGACCTGTGAGGGCTCCTCACCAGCACTGCCCTTTCCCATCTCCTTCCTCAGCCCGGTGACAACGCCCTGGAAAGCCGAGCCCTTAGAGGAGATGAAGGCTGCCAGGGGGAGCCCAGGCTTGTGCGAGGTGTGGCTGCTGGTTCAGGGCTGTGTCAGGGATGGGGGATGTCCCCTTCCCATCCGCGGGGACAGCGCTTCACACCCCGAGTCTTGGCTGGGAGATGCAATTTTGGCTTTTAATTGCCTGCTGGCACGCAACGTAATTGCTGTAACATGCACTGTTTCAATATTTTAATACTCTAATATTTTAATATATTAATATTCCGGTACATAAATATTTTATTATTTGTGTATTTTAGATATTTATAATTTTGCATTAATATTGTATACGTTCATATTTTTTGTGGTTTTATTTTGTATTTTCGTTATTTGCATTGAGATTTTCTGAGCATCTCCCTTTAAAATGTGCACTGCTTGGCCTTCTCTTTGCTGTGATTTTCCCTCAGGTAAGTGCTGGCTCCTGACTGTGTTTCTTTTTTCTGTGCCTCCAGTGACTCTCTGTGGGACTGCCCCCCCAAGATATGGGGGTGCCCCAGGGCAAGCAGGGGATGCAAAGCAGCTGCCCCGCCATGCCAGGCTCATTCTGCATTCAGCACAGTGGAGGAAGGAGCCTCAGGCTCTGGCTGATCTCTGCCTGCTCCTGGTGTCAAAATGTCATTTTTCCAGGCAAAACAAGGTGT